TGTGCAAATGCCTGCAGACTCAAAAAGTGTGACTGCAGGGCATTCACTGGGGAATTCACTAAGCTGCTAACACTGATGTGTGTAATCCCACAATCAGGATGAGTCATGTGTGTCCAATCATTGGCCCCAAAACCAAAAGTGAGCATGTTAAGTTTGGATGAAGGCCATAAACTAAATCCTGAACTCTTGTTTTGGGTATTCGGATTTTGACCCAGGGACTAACTGGGACAACACCACCAGCGATAAGTCTATCATTGGCCATTTTCATTGTCAGAAGTTTCCTTTTTTGGCTATTTTTTATTCATTTTCACCATCATTTCATTAGTTCAGTGTTTTGCCTACCTGTTTTCTACATAGTTGTTTGCTAACGCTTAGGTTTTCTTCGCAGTTAGAGTGGCACTGTAGTTTGATGCAGAAGGTTCTTAGTCTGTTTCTCCCCTAATTTAAGGAATTTTATTTTATTCTATGATTTAAATTTAAAACCAAGGAGCTTGAACATTTTGTAATATCACTAAAAGAAACGCGGTGGTGGAGAGGAAGTGAATCTGATGCTCAATCAAAAACATCTCGAAGGCCAGGGCCTTGCAAAAGTTTTCTGTGATTATGCAAATATTTGCAAATATCATCTATGCAGCAGCAGATGTCTTTCATGATTTGTCTCTGTTTAGGAAAAAAAAAATCACTGCCTCACTTACGGGCAGCTTGACTTTTTTTTTTTTTTGTTACTTAATTCCTGATTCAGAGGAACTAAACACAAAACAGGCCAAAAGATGAGGTCTGAAGCTCTGATAGAGACCAGACCTCGCTGCACAGTTACTCTCTCTTTTTAAAAAGCACTTAGCATTCACTGCCGAAATGATAAATCACTGAGGCACAACATCAGGAAGGGTTTTCAGGAGCTTTGACAGGCGGTTTTAAATAGTTAGCGTCGGTGTTTACCACGGATGACGCCCATTTACAACGATGACAACGGTTTCCGAAAAAATGGGGTAAGAACGGGAGGGGGAATATATATATATATAACATTTGGTTTTGCCAGAGTGAGAACTCTACAGGAAGTAAATACTAACTCAAAGGTTCCTGTTTCAGGATCTTAGTGATGTGATTGGTCAGGGCTCATTAGTAACATATGTATTGAGCAGTGTCAGAGAAAAAACTTGGTTTTATTGGGGGTGGTCAGTCGACTTAAATCCAGCGGTTGTGAAAGCGTGTGATCCATAAACTTAAAGTTCCGAGCAGCAACAGTACATGTCACTGTTAATACAAAACACATTTTAGTTCAGAAAAAACTTAATGGCCAAATTTGGAAACTCCAACATATGTTCAGACTTTCTGGAAGGAGCTGGATTTGATCCTATTAAAATCAAGTACCATTTTATTTTACTGCATTTTTTTTTTTTGCATTATTCCTTTGAGCAAAACAAGTTATTTTTTATTAATTTCTAATCACAATGGATAGAGGTCAGCTTCTTCTTAATGCATTTCAAATGGCTATTCAAGCTTTTTTTTATTTAAACCCTACAACACTCAGTAACTAGGTTATTAAAAAGGCTGTTTTTTAAAAAACATTCAAAATCTCTGTTAGCCATTATTTTTTACTGAGAAATCGATATTTTGCAATATTTTATATTTTATGTTTGCCAAAGTGAAGAAAAAAAAAGAATCTATGAAAAGCTGAAAGACGGCAAAATATAAATTGTTAAGTGAAGCTTATAGACAAATGTAGCTAATTTAGAGGAACTGGCTTATTTTAAACGCACTGAAAGTCCCTTCAGTTTTCCCAAACTCAGCAGTTCACAGCGAGTCCTGGCACTGGTCCTAAATAACTGGGACATTACTTGCTGTAATTGTCCCATGTGTCAGCTGACGAGGAGATACCACAAAACTTGGCAACCCTCCACTATTTGCCTAACTAAAGGGCTTGTCTGTATTTTTCTTCTTTTGTTCTGTTTCGGTTGGTCTCATTTTTGTCATTTGGATCGAAAGAGGGCTTTTTATCACAGATCCAGATTAAACATGAGTCACGGTGACTCTGCGCTCTTGAGTGCAGGGGCAGTTAACTGCGTACGTGGGGAGTGACTTGTAGCGGGGTTAGGTGAGGCATCAGAGGACTGGGGACATGTTTATCTGAGACCCTTTCCAAGCAAAACGTGGTTACAGTGACCGGCGCTTAATCACTCTATCTTTATCTTCGAAATGCTGTCATCAGGATAGATTAAAACCATATCTGTGAGAACTGTACCAACTGTAGGACCACAGATTTTTAAGACAAGTAACTGCATGGATGAATGGCTCAACCGCAGTGTGGAGTTTAAAGAACAACAAGAAATGACCCTGGAAAAGTAACAAGAAAAAAAAAGTGATATTTCACAAACATATTTACTTCTTACTACAAATTACTTTTATTTTATTAAAAAACAAAAACTCTTCATCCTGAAAGTGCTTTCTAAAGATCTAAGCTCACCACACGTGTTTCCTTTCATCTCTGCAACACAGTGATGGCAACAACTTCAAATCTACTAAGTGTCCACATTCAGTCTTTGTACACCTGGCAGCCATTAGCCTACTGAACTGCAGTTTGATTGGCTCATTGGAGAGGTTAATCACCCTGACCAAGGGTTTGCTTCCTACTGAGGGGCCACAGAGGTGTTAGCCTGGCTGCAACCTGCCTTTACATTATTATTATTATTATTATAGTTTGTCCTATGATTTAAGACTCAGTTACATCAGTGTAACGTGTCTTTTTTTTTGCTTCCCATTCTTGCTGGTCAAGTTTTGTGCAAGTAGGAGAGTAGGAGGTTCTTTTGTCCACTAGCGTAGCATAAACAGACGCTGCATTTGTGAGTTCATTTGTGTTTGTCCTTGTTGAAGAGATAACACTTAA